CACTTCCGGCTTTTTTCTTTTTGCTTATGTGGTGCTGAGGAATTGAACCCAGGGCCTCAGGCATGCAAGGCAAGCACTCTACCACTGAGCCACCTTCCAGCCCTAGTATTCTACTTTCAATCAACTTTTTTTTTTTTTGTCAGTCGTAGGGCTTGAACTCTGAGCCTAGGCACTTAGCTCTAGTCCCTTAGCTCTTCAGCTCAAGACGAGTGCTCTACCATTTGAGCCACAGTGCCACTTCTGTTTTTTTGGTGGTTAATTGGAGTCTCACGTTCCTGCCCGGGCTGGCTTTGAACCATGATCCTCAGATCTCAGCCTCCTGAATAGCTAGGATTACTGGTGTGAGCCACGGGTGCTGGCAAATGTTTTTTTTAGCTTCCACATGATAATATGCATCATTTCTGTATGTCTGCTTATTCCACTTAACATAATATCTTCCACTCCAATCCATGACATGATGCCCTTCTTAGTCTCACAGCTTTTGTTTTGAAGTCTGTTTTGTCAGATAAACGTATAACTACTTCTGCTTGCATTGTTTTGATTTGACTAGAATATCGTTTTCCATCCCTCCATTTGCAGCCTATGTCTTTACTGATGAAATGGGTTTCTAGGAGACAGCATATTGTCTGACTTTAGTTTTGTCAGACTTGCCTGCCTGCCCCCACCCCCTTTGTGTGGAGGATAGTTCCCAGGATCTCTGGAATGCCAGGCAAGCACTCTACCACTGAACTACAACCTTAGAACCTCTCTGCCAACTTTATTCTACTTTTTTTTGGGGGGGGGTCCAGTCGTGGGGCCTGAACTCTGGGCCTCGGCGCTGTCCCTCAGCTCTTCAGCTCAAGGCTAGTGCTCTACCACTTGAGCCACAGAGCCACTTCCAGCTTGTTTCTTTTTGCTTATGTGGTGCTGAGGAATCGAACCCAGGGCCTCATGCATGCAAGGCAAGTGCTCTACCACTGAGCCGCCTTCCCAGCCCTACTTTATTCTACTTTTGAGGAACCAACTACCACCTCCTTATCATTTTATTCTCTCATCCATTAAGACTAAGGACCAGGATGCCTGGGTCTTAGTCTCACTTACCAGGTGACTTCCATCTTTCTTCATGTGTAAAATGGGGATAATGAGAGTACCTGGAACTTGTGACGTTTAAATGAGGCAGTACATGTTGAACTGAGCCTAACATATGGTAAGTGAGATTTTGCTACCGTTATAATTACTGTAGCCAGGCACAAGTGGTTCAATGCCTATAATCCTAGCTAATCAGGAGGCTGAAATCTGAGGATCATGGTTTGAAGTCAGCTTGTGCAGAAATGTCTGTGAGATTCTAGTCTCTAACTAACCTGGAAAAAGCTAGAAGTTGAGGTATGGCTCAAGTGGTAGGGCATTAACCTTCATGGGAAAAAGACAAGCAAGAACGTGATTAGTCTCTGAGTTCAAGCCTCAGTATTGGTAAACACACACACACACACACACACAATCATTGTTCTGCAACTGGCACCAGCAAGGCCTTCTGGCTTTCCAGCTATCAAGAATATTCTCTCTATCCTTTGATCTCAGGGCTGGATCTCATAAGGAGATTATAAGGAGACCTCCCTATACCCTTTCCTTCCTCTCCTCTGTGTAGCCTTTCTGAAGCCATGGAGGAGTTTAACCTTCAGAACTTCCCCATGCAGACTGCCCTTGAAGACTTAGTAGAGACACAGCTGTGTCTTCCCTTCCCCTGCCCACATTCCCTGAAGGTCAGAGCAAATTTCCCAGGCCCAGTGCCAAAGGCCGCCTCTGGAGTGGGCTGATATGTGTTTCCATCGCTGCTCTGCTTCTCCCTGGCTGTGTGATCATCACCTAATCCCTTAGCTGCTATCCCTTAGCTGCTCTGTGCAGCATCTAGGAGAAGACTATTTCATACTAAATAAGGACACAATGAGATAACGGATGCCAAGCTCTTAGCGTACTCTCCCTCCTTCCCACAGTCCCATGTCCAGCACCACCTGTGAGCTCACCTGGGTTGAAGAGGATGGTTCCTTTCAGATAGGCATACTCTTTAGGGCCCAGCTTGAGGCTGCAGAAGGACTCTAGACAGCACTGAAGCCATTGCACAGCAGCCAGGGAGGGCTGGGGTCTGTTGGGCAGCTGTTCACTCCTGGCTCTGCTGTTGGGTTCCTCCAACAATATCTTCTTGAGTATGCTGGGCACCGGGGCCTCTGCCACCTCGAAGGTCACAGTATCTTGGGCCAAGCCAAGCAGGAAGAGGGGGCCCCAGGAGCCCTGCAGCAGGCGTCGCTGATCCTGGGTGGGCAGCTGGCAGAAAGATGGCAAGTTCCTGAGAAAGGCCACTGTCTTAGCCAGGACATCCAAAGCCTCCCTGCAGGTGCGATGTGGCGCGCAGAGGTGGACGGGCCGGTGCTGCCTGCACAGGCAGTGGGTGCCGGATGGGGGCACAGAGGGACTGGCCGTGAGGCTGGGGCTCAGAAGTGTGTATAGAATGGCTGGGCGTCCTGCAGGCCCCTGGCATGGGCAGGCCCCTTGATGGCTGGAGCTCATGGCTGGAGACCTGCTCCAACTTCCTCCTCACTCTCTGGCCTTGTGTCCTGTGCTGTGGGTGTTATTTATATCCGCAATGGGCGGGAGGGGGAATGGCTTGACAACCTTGACTCCAGAAGTCATGTTCATTCACACACACACACACACACACACACACACACACACATTGACCCTGGCAGGCCTGCTGGGGAAGTGGCGGGGGAGGGGACCAGGGGAGCTCCACGTGGCGCTGATATGGTTTTAGTCAATGAAGTAGCCAGGGCTAGGTGCAGGGCATGGGGCCACCTGTCTGCTTGCCCGGCTGCTCTTTATCAGATGATTCAAGTGGATAAACAGGGTCATTAACCCGGGTGTACCAAGGCACCAAGGCCTCAGGTGCCCAATCAGCAGGTAGCTGTGACTGCCCTTTCCCTCGGTGCCCGCTCTCATGTGTGTACAAGCGCAGGTTTCTCACTAAGCCAGGAAGCCACAGAGCCGGACAGGCCTTGAATGCAAGGCCCAGCCTGGAAGTGTTTTATCACTGGCTTGTTTGTCTAACCTTGGAGCCCTGCTCCTGTTGGAAGGAACAGGCTGCCGGGAAAGGAACCAGGACTCTGGGGGGCTGGGAGGACTTTGCCCAACTGTGAAGTCTAGGAAGCCCTCAGATCCTCCACCTCTGATAGTGGGAGGCCTTGGAGGAATAGGGTCCTTCAGACCCCAGCCCAGACCTGGATTCCTACAGCCCCTGAGAGGCCCTCACAGAACCATCATGAGTGCTTCCTAGGCGTAAATCACTTTCCACTCTTAATTTTATTTTATTTTTGTAACTCAGGGCCTTGAACTTGAAAGGCAAGACAGTCTATGCTTGGACCCACATAACCCACCTTCCCTCTTTGTTCTGGTGCCGGGTTGAACTGAGAGCCTTGGCTTTTTCAAATAAGACTGGCATTCTGTGGATGCTGGTGGCTCATGCCTGTAATCCTAGTTACTCTGGAGGCTGAGATCTGAGGATCATGGTTCAAAGCCAGCCCGGGCAGGAAAATCCATGAGACTCTTATCTCCAATAAACCACTCAGAAAACCAGAAGTGGCACTGTGGCTCAAGTGGTAGAGTAATAGCCTTGAGAAAAAAAAAAAAAAGACTGGCATTCTACCACTTGAGCCATAGCTCCACTTCTGGAATTTCCTGCTTGGGCTGGTTTCCAACTGCAATTCTCAAATCTCAGCTTCCTGGGTATCTAGGATTACAGGTGTGAGCCACTGGTACCTGACTGCACACTGGTACCTGTCCCCCCCCCTTTCTTTTTTTTTCTTCTTTTTTTTGGTTGGTCCTGGGGGCTGAACTCTGGGCCTGGGCGCTATCTCTCAGCTCTTCAACTCAAGCTAGCACTCTACCACTTGAGCCACAGAGCCACGCCAGCTTTTTCTGCTTATGTGGTGCTGATGAATCGAACCCAGGGCCTCATGCATGAAAGGCAAGCACTCTACCACTGAGCCAACATCCCAGACCACCTCCTCTTTCTCCTCCTCCTCCTCCCTTTTTTAGCTAGGATAGCTGAGATGACAGGCATGAATCACTGTGTGAAATTTTTCTTGGTAGAGATGGAGTCTCCTAAACTTTCTACCCTTGCTAGTCTGGAGATTCAATCCTCCCAATTTCCACCTCCCATGGAGCTAGGATTGATTACAAGCATAAGCCACTTATATCTGCCTTCCAATCTAATATGGAGTGCTTTCCTATAAGGCTAGATTCTTATGCGATGACACTTGTAGAAGTGAAATGATTTGCCCAGGGTCACCCCAACAGGAAAGGGCCCCAATTTGTTCTTCTGGATCCACTAACTGGGTTGTACAGCAGGAGTCCTAGGCTCTCAGAATGGGTGGCTAGCTGCCTGCCACCTCCTGCTACCTGCTTTGCAAATGTGGCCTACCTGGGATCTAGACCAAAAATGTTTCTGCTGCCACATAGTTCCTCTGTTCCAGGCATTTGTCTCAGATGGCGAGATGTATGAAATGGGACCTTGGTTATGCTGTGTCCTTGGACCTTGGCCAGTCCAACCTGGCAGGCCTGTCACCATACTTCAGGAGCCTACTGGAGAGAAGGCAGTTCTGGTCTTGCCAGCCCTGATACCTGCTTCTGGCTCCATTGCTTCCCACCTATGTGACTTTGGGCCAACCTCAGTGATCTCTGAATATCATCTGGGACAATAAAGCCTGCCTGCAGGACTATTGCAGGGACAGAGTGAGCCCAAGCAATTTCTGGGATAGAGTAGAGGGACTTAGCTTCTCACTTTCTTCTATCTAAATAATTAAGTACCAACAGACAAACCAGTGTACATTTTTCACTTGAATGTAAGTAATCTGGCCTTTTCTTTTCCTTCCCTTCTTTTCCCTTTTATGTGTTTTTTTTCTTTCTTCCTCTTTCATTGCTGTTGTTGCAAACACCCTCATTCTCTGAAAGAGGGAGTCAAAAAGGAAGAGATCTTCTGCAGGCTGGATACTAATCCCTGGGTTTCACATTGTTGGGTTCTTGGAGAACTATGTTTTTTGAGCCCTGTGTGTTGCCTGCAGGTTGGCATGTCAGTCCTAGACCTCCTGGAGGGTAAGACAAGGCCTTGGGCTAGATGTTTACATTCCAGGACCTGTCTGGGGCTGTTTGCTCAGAAAGGTGGAGGCTTCTGTCAGGGAGATGGCTCATCAGCTGCCCTCTGCCCAGGCCCTGCCCCACAAGTCAGAAGTGGAGACACAGCTCTGCATTTTGGAGTGATGCAATTAGTCTTTCAGAGACCTTAGTCTGATAGAAAAGATGAGTCTTGCTCTCTGGAGCCTTCAGTATGAAAGAGGAGACTCAGATCAACTTTCAGGAAGGAGGGAGAGACAGCCACAGCCATGTTCTTAGTAGCTCCAGGTCTGACAGACATATGGCTGGGGGGTGGAATATGCTACAACAGAGTAGTGGAGTTGTGTTGCTTGAATTTCTAGAGGAAAGACTCATGATAACACCCTTCATCTGTATGGCACCTTGTGGTTAACAAAGTAATTTCCCAACACATTCATCTCAGCTAATCTTCATGCAATAATGGAACGAAGGTATTACTGTTAAGTAGAATTAACAATCCTCATTATCCTAATAATTGTAATAACTGCCACTTACTGAACATCAACTATGTGCCAGGTACTGGTAGGGCATTGCCACGCCGACTCCAGTGGAGTCTGCTTAGCATGGGAAACCATCTATCAGACCATGATAGGGGCTTCAGAGACCTATCTCTGAGTTTTGGGACTTCACCGAAGTCTACCTCAGAGAATGGGGCTTTACAGAAACCTATCTCCAAGTTTTGGGACTTCACCGAAGTCTACCTCGGAGAATAGGGCTTCTAAGAGGCCTACTCCTGGAAAGGCTGGCAAACCCCTGGGAAAGATGTGCTTCTGCCTATCTTTTCCTCATAAGAGTGCCTATTAATCTTTTACTGTTTCTGCTGTTCATCGTACTTATTCATTGTCAACGTTTCCCTATACAAAGCTCTTTCTTAAGAGTGTTGACGACTCCAATATCTGATGAGTGTC